AACCCGAAGGCAAATATAATACAAGCCCAAACGAAAAAATATAAACAAGTCTAAATTGAAAACAACGTTCAAACCTATGATTGCGTTTGATAAAAATCGCAATTTTATACGTGTGCATGCAAAACAAATTTCTTGTTAGAGGGGTCTAAATACAGCACAAACAACATTTTCCAAAAGACCAAAAAAGTGAGAAAGTATATTTTAACAATACGCATTTGACTAACAGGTCGAACAACAAATGTTCTTAAACCCTGCTGACTGCCATTGGCGATTGCCAAATAAACGGATCACCGATGTAATAAATGGGTCTTAATTTTAAATTTAATACTAAACAGAAAACAATAAACTTGCGGAAAAGATGGTATACCGCAAATAAAAGGTGCACAGGTATTTGTACACCATATCCGGATTTCGACAATTAATGTCTCTTCAGTGATGTTAGGAATCGAAACAGTATTTGGAAAGCCATACAATTTACCTCAATTTAGGATAGACTCTTGAATTTTGAGGAGTCAAAATAGGATGAACGGATCATATAAACCCGAAGGCAAATATAATACAAGCCCAAACGAAAAAATATAAACAAGTCTAAATTGAAAACAACGTTCAAACCTTTGATTGCGTTGGATAATAATCGCAATTTTTATACGTGTGCATGCAAAACAAATTTCTTGTTAGAGGGGTCTAAATACAGCACAAACAACATTTTTCAAAAGACCAAAAAAGTGAGAAAGTATATTTTAACAATACGCATTTGACTAACAGGTCGAACAACAAATGTTCTTAAACCCTGCTGACTGCCATTGGCGATTGCCAAATAAACGGATCACCGATGTAATAAATGGGTCTTAATTTTAAATTTAATACTAAACAGAAAACAATAAACTTGCGGAAAAGATGGTATACCGCAAATAAAAGGTGCACAGGTTTTTGTACACCATATCCGGATTTCGACAATTAATGTCTCTTCAGTGATGTTAGGAATCGAAACAGTATTTGGAAAGCCATACAATTTACCTCAATTTAGGATAGACTCTAGAATTTTGAGGAGTCAAAATAGGATGAACGGATCATATAAACCCGAAGGCAAATATAATACAAGCCCAAACGAAAAAATATAAACAAGTCTAAATTGAAAACAACGTTCAAACCTTTGATTGCGTTGGATAATAATCGCAATTTTTATACGTGTGCATGCAAAACAAATTTCTTGTTAGAGGGGTCTAAATACAGCACAAACAACATTTTCCAAAAGACCAAAAAAGTGAGAAAGTATATTTTAACAATACGCATTTGACTAACAGGTCGAACAACAAATGTTCTTAAACCCTGCTGACTGCCATTGGCGATTGCCAAATAAACGGATCACCGATGTAATAAATGGGTCTTAATTTTAAATTTAATACTAAACAGAAAACAATAAACTTGCGGAAAAGATGGTATACCGCAAATAAAAGGTGCACAGGTTTTTGTACACCATATCCGGATTTCGACAATTAATGTCTCTTCAGTGATGTTAGGAATCGAAACAGTATTTGGAAAGCCATACAATTTACCTCAATTTAGGATAGACTCTTGAATTTTGAGGAGTCAAAATAGGATGAACGGATCATATAAACCCGAAGGCAAATATAATACAAGCCCAAACGAAAAAATATAAACAAGTCTAAATTGAAAACAACGTTCAAACCTATGATTGCGTTGGATAAAAATCGCAATTTTTATACGTGTGCATGCAAAACAAATTTCTTGTTAGAGGGGTCTAAATACAGCACAAACAACATTTTCCAAAAGACCAAAAAAGTGAGAAAGTATATTTTAACAATACGCATTTGACTAACAGGTCGAACAACAAATGTTCGTAAACCCTGCTGACTGCCATTGGCGATTGCCAAATAAACGGATCACCGATGTAATAAATGGGTCTTAATTTTAAATTTAATACTAAACAGAAAACAATAAACTTGCGGAAAAGATGGTATACCGCAAATAAAAGGTGCACAGGTTTTTGTACACCATATCCGGATTTCGACAATTAATGTCTCTTCAGAGATGTTAGGAATCGAAACAGTATTTGGAAAGCCATACAATTTACCTCAATTTAGGATAGACTCTAGAATTTTGAGGAGTCAAAATAGGATGAACGGATCATATAAACCCGAAGGCAAATATAATACAAGCCCAAACGAAAAAATATATATACAAGTCTAAATTGAAAACAACGTTCAAACCTATGATTGCGTTGGATAAAAACCGCAATTTTTATACGTGTGCATGCAAAACAAATTATATATATATTTATAAGTTGTGGTTTTAGTGTCAATATTGACATCTGAAACGGTTGCTGCTACAAAATCTTATAAATACCACTGATGCCAGATAACATACTGTTAGAGCTCACCAAATAATTTGACACAAGCTTTGCCTATACCACGTGATCCACCAGTGACAACCGTAACTTTTCCCAAAAATCGTTTACTTTCTGCCATATCTTATTTATTTCCTAATTAAAAAAAATTAGGGAAATTACACTGAAACGTCAATACCTGCATACACATAAAGCGCTGTCCCATTGCTGTATGTGGGTCTCGTTGGGGTCTAAGCGTGACGCGGGATTGGCCAATTTTTTGTAAGCGTGACACGTGAAAGTCAAACTATTGTGCGTGAAAACGGGAAACAAAGTCGTGCGGGACACGTAAAATTACAAGCGTAATTATTACAATGATAAGCGGGATACGGGAATCTGACAACAAAACATTAAGCGGGATCCGGGATCAGACCCTTCATCCAGACGTACACATGGAGTGAAACTCGAAAAATGTGCCGAGTAAAACAAGCATACAAAATCCATTTGTTTAATACAAGATTCTTCGAGAGCTCACCAGTTAGCATCTTTCTCATATTAGTTTACTATACGGTGTAGGTTTGTCCATTGTTGAAGGCCGTACAATAACCTATATAGTTGTTTACCTACATCCGTGTCCTTGGACTTTGGTGGAAAGTTGTATCCTTTGCAATCATACCACTTTTCCTTATTTATATATATCATCTTGATTCCAATCCTTATCATTCCATCAAAGTCTTTGATTATAGATTGGCATTTTATAATGTCGTTGCAAACACGTAATCTATGTCAGTTCGTTGAGAAAAGGACTGCATACATTAGTTGTGAGAATTTACACATAACAGCAAAGATGGAGGTGATAAATGGTTATATATTTAAAAAGATAGATATTTATGAAGGTGGTTTTGAATACTTATAGATTATTACATGGTAATTTCCATATTTGCCCTGGTGTCAACCCGAGATTCCCATATCAAGCATGAGGAGTAGCCCAGGGCTGATATGGTTCGAGTGCTGCAAATATATGTAATGCTTTGTATGATGTATTTATCACATATTTTATTTATTGTTTTTTATTGACAGGTTTACTGGAAGTTAAATTCAGAGTCTCAATGTGGGTATTTGAGGGCAAATATCGATATTGGCCCACAGGACAAATAACCGACTCCGTCTTCCGGCTATTATTTGACATGTAAACACGTACATATTAGTAAAAAAAATGTGATAAATAAGATTACACAGAAGCTTGTACAATTTCATGCAGACACAATGACACTTTCTAATCAAGAATGCAGAAATATGGTGTGCCCATAAAAAGTAAATCACAAAAATACTCAACTCCGAGGAAAATTCAAAAAGGAAAGTCCCCAATCAAATGGCAAAATCAAAAGTTCATACACATCAATCGAATGGATAACAACTGTCATATTCCTGACTTGGTACAGGCATTTTCTTATGTAGAAAATGGTGGATTGAACCTGGTTTTATAGCTAGCTAAACCTCTCACTTGTATGACAGTCGCATCAAATTCCATTATATTGACAACGATGCGTGAACAAAACAAACAGACACAATAGGTAAAAATGTCAAAAATAGGGGTACAGCAGTCAACATTGTGTTATCATCTTAATCACTGTAAAAACAAACAAATGTAACGAAGAAGCACAAAAAGGCATACATCAAATTTAACATCCTCATTTTGCTTATATTATACGATTTTATTTATCTATGTAAAATCCACCTATAAAGGATGGAAGGTTTTAAGTACTGGCGTAAAATCGCGCGTTTGAAATTCGCACAGGTAGACATAAAATAATTTTGTCGTTCAAAGTAAGACGGGTATAAAACGCGTTAGTGACGTCAAAACTCAGTGAATACAGTTTTGTTTTCTTTCTTGTTATTTATTTGATCTAAACTTCCACGCATATTTCATTAGTCATTAAATTGAATGGATGCAGGAGGATTTTGAAAATGAATATCAGGGCCTGGTAAGAATTTAAAAAATAATATTCTGCCCCACTACGAATCACTGCAACTCGCCCCAATTTTCTATAAAACGCGTCCAACCTTCTACAAACTTGGGGTGAACGTGTGACGTACATGTTTTTCCTATTCTGGGTGTTCAAGGCGAGTTTGAAGTTGTTATATTGGTGGTGCAAATGATTTGCAGTGGGGTTGAATGTTTGCATACTGCATATTCTTTGTCATGTCATGTTATCTGGAGCCAGTTTCAGCTAGTGTGAATTCCTTTTCATCAGTGGGACCAGTTAGTGCCATTCATTTCAAACGTTTGTTCGAGTTTTGGTTATGGGAAAGTGGAGCGAGTTTGGGGGAAGATGGGGCGAGTTGGTAGAAAGTTGGGGCGAGTAGGTCTAAGGAGAGTTGGCCATCGGACGAGTTTTCTTGCTACCCTCACAAAATATAAGACATAGTTGTGTGCAAAATTGAAAAAAAAAAATAAGCTGACCTACATGTAGCAACAATTTGAAAAATTAACATTCCAATATTGCAAAAAATCCTGCTTAATCCATCCCGGCACCCCTCCTGTCAAAAAAAAATTGTCGTTCCCTAGTGCAAACCAATAATTTCTAAAATAACACCTCCGTATTCAATTTTGCATAGCAGCGATCTGGCTTAATATAAAAAATTTACTTACATAGTTGGCCGTCACAGCCTGCTTAATAAATATAAACCATGCAAGCACCTACATATAATATTGAAACACATTTTTTGCAAGATCAAAGAACAATTAGTTTACATCAATTTTGTACTACCGATCTGCATTTACCTGTTTATAAAAGCTACATGTACATATGTGTAACATAATATTCAATATGTGTCACACACGCCTTTATGAATATATTACGCAACTGTTTGAGATGGGTAAGATAGCAGTAAATGATATGAAATCGGTACAAATAGATTAATAAATTGACTTATTGATAACAGACGAAGGTAGCAACTCTCGTTTACAAGTTTTACAAATTTTAAAAATACCATTAACGTTCCTGTCATTCATCTTTTGTAAGGTTAACATGGTTTTTCTTTATTGGGGACAAACCATTTTTTCATCTTTATTCAAAAACTATTTTGTCTCTCAATAACATAATTTTTATACAGAAACAAATTTGTTAGAAATTCAATATTTTTATTTACTGATGTACAATTGGAAAGAAACTAATTTTTCCACAACACATCTGCAACATTTGTTCAAGAAATTCAGAATAAAGGCAAGTAATTGAAAACTTGATTTTTTGGTTTAAAAATTCTGTTGCACGTACCACATCTATAAACACTAATGCCTTATCTTTTTGATGTATTGACGTATTAAAAAAATGTTTTAAAGTCTATGAAACCTTCAAAATTTACTAAATCGATAGTTGCATCATACAAAATATAACACATAGTTAAAATATCATGACGTACGGATTTGTTATTATCTGACTATCACACAAAATTGCAATGCTATTTTGGCAATGCAATCATTACCGAAACGTCATTCAAAATGCTCAATGTCTTATAAATAGTACACAATACAAATCAACATATTATCCAACTACGTCATATAATAAAGACAACCGTGGCTATTTCTGAACAAAATGTCATTTTAATTTAATGATGCAATCATCACCAACACACTCAAAGTAGATTGAAGTCCAGAGTTCAAAGCATTGCTATTTCTAAACTGAGTGTAGTTTAAGTAAAGCGATGAAATCATCACTTAAACAGTTGTCAAAAGTCCAACCGTGGCTATTTTTAAACGGAGTGTAACTCAAGTTACGCGATGCAATCATCACAAATACAAGCGAATTTAGCCCAAAGTACTTAAATCGGTGAAGTCAGAAATGTAGTTTTTCCCAAACTTACCATCTCTAAATACGTATAAAACCAAATTTTACCTATCATGAAACACTGAACTGCATACATCAAAACAATGTCATTTAGGATAACTTTACAATATATTATTTATTTGGAAAAAATGTTTTGGCGATGCAAAATACGGAAAGTACGATATTCCCAGTTATTCACTTGTTCTACCTAATTACAGGATCAACGGCGGAGACCTCGTAAGCAGTAAAGTTTGAGCCTTCTGTGGTAGTAATTTTGATAAAGGTAGCCGAATCGCATGAGGTTGTGCAGACTATCCTATTTTATGTATTAAGTAAACGAAACTGGCTCCGTCTTTACGATTGGCAAGAAATACGTATAACTTCTAGCTGGTAGTTTTCGCACGGTTCCATTTTTTTTTTATCGGGGTCAATAAAGATATCTTAACAGTACCGTAATGGCTTTTGAATATGCCTTTGTGGTCTAATTTTATTTCCAGTCACATTTTTAGAAACCAAATCTGTTTTTTGTACATCCGTGACTTAACTTTCAGTCAAAACGGACTTGTTTGTAGAAGCAGACTTAGAGCCCTCTGAATTAGTATCAGAATTTGTGCTAGAATTTTCACTTTCTTCGGTCCATAGGTTGAAATAAGGTGCTGGTGTGCGCACTCGAATATGTGTTAGCTTTAAACGATTGATATTCATGGGACGGCGAAAATTTCTCATTTTTGCTGCGTCTCTAAGAAGAATTAAATTTGCACTCGGTAGACAGATTACAGCAAACGGTTCATCATAAGTATGGTGAATTTTCAGCCTTGTCTAACGGGTCCTCTGGATATATAAACATTGTCTCCCACGGTCAAATAGAGCGCATGAACATTTGTATTTTCGGCATCTTCCATTTCTTTTGAGCGACATAGGTATTCAATTTGACATGCTCTAGGATAATGTTCAAACAGGGATCTAAATTTTCATTATAGGATTTTGAGTCTTTCGAAATATCTTTGAAATCAACATTGTAATAAAGTGATAACGGAAAATTTCGCCTTTTTCCGTAGATAATTACAAGCAGAATATGTTGATCCTGAATTTACACAAGTGTTAATTGAAAAAAAAATCCAGGTAGCATTTCTTCCTGTTGTTTATTGTACAGTATGCATAAGGATCGAGTTCAGCGCTCCACTAAGGTCCGATGCATCCGTTCACAGCGACTTAAACAATGGCGCATCATGCTAGGTGTGAATTCTTACTCTACTTTCAACATTTTACACACTGCCACATACATGCATTTCTCGATAAACTCTGATCCTTGGTCTGAAATAACCGTGCTACACACACCAAAAGTACAGAAAAAATTGAAAATTTCCTTCGATATGATATTCTATCATTATTTCGTAAAGGCACAGCAAACATTTTCCGCAACCAGAAATACTCAAATAGAGGTATACAACAAATGCGATTAACAATTCATGAAAACATACACTGAACGCAAAAAAATTAAATGATAAATTATAATGGGCTCGTCTAATTGGTGTATATCATGGTATACATTGGCTTTGTATTTTATGCAGAAAATAACTCCATAAATGACAAGTTAACAAATTTTGAATCATTCAAACATTTCTATGTATTGTCTTTGATATTTTAATTATACTAACATATTGTATCGTACGAAATAAGTTTAAACAAAGATGGTTTTTGTCTCGCCTTGACGGAGTTACAAAGCGAGACATTGGTGTGTTGTTTCCATGCGGCGGCGGCGGCGGCGGCGGCGGCGGCGGCGGCGGCGGCGGCGGCGCCAACAATGTATTAGTTTGTGATTAGGTCAGTTTCTGGGGAACCACTAGTGGTAGGTCTATGATATTTGGTATGCAGTTGTAATAGCAATGGCACATCTCATTTCCATTGAGATTATTTGGTCCCGCCCTCTCATTCATGGTCTATTGACTTTGAAACTTTTGTTTAGTTTATATGTATTAGTTTGTGATTATGTCAGTTTATGGGGAACCACTATAGTTAAGTCAATGATATTTGGTATGCAGCTGGATTAGCATTGGCACATGTCATTTCCATGGAGATTGTTTGGCCTCGCCCCCTCAGTCATGGGCTATTGACTTTGAAACTTTTGTCTAGTTTATATGTATACGTTTGTACATTAGGTCAGTTTATGGGGAACCACTAGTGGTAGGTCTATGATATTTGGTATGCAGTTGTTTTAGCATTGGCACATCTAATTTCCATGGAGATTGTTTGGCCATGAAGGTCAAGGTTAATTGATTTTGAATACCGGTATTTTGCATAATTTACGTGTTTAAGTATTGCTATTTTAATTTCAACATTTGCATTTTATTATCAAAATAATAAAAAGGCGAGACATATATCTGTGATCTGTGTTGACAATTTATTATATATACAAGATTACAGGAAATGATTATTATCTGTTCGAACAAAACGGAACACGATTTTTAAAATGTTGATATATATATGGTGGATTAAATGTTCGATTTTATTACAAAACAAACAAAGGACAACACAAATGTGAGTATAAAAAACCACAGAGACTCGGTTAGCAGATTAAAATTTTGTTAAATAATGTTTAGCAAATTTTTTTTCGTATTCTTGGAGCTTTTGATCATAGTGGCGAGCATGTGTAGTTTATACATAGAGCTTCTGATCACAGGGACATTATGTGTAGTTTATTCTAAGAGCTTCTGGCTACAGCGAAACTATCTGAAGCTTACGACTCATTGACATTATGTTTAGCTTATACGTAGAGGTTCTGTTTACAATGTTTATATTTAGAGATTCTGACTACAGTGTCGTAATAAGGTTTATCACTTATAAGATAAACCAATTTAATGAAAGAGATTTGATTAATATATTTATTTTCCATAAAGACATATTTCATCATTCGGATCCGCATCTCGCTTCCGGCTTAGAAACATCACGTGACTTCAGCCTCACATTTGAACTAGCCGCTTCTAGATAAGTGAAAGTTTCAAAAGACAATCGTCAAAAAATCTTCGACATCCGCAACTTATAGATTTCTAATCAGATATGAAACCACCGAAAAGGCCTCGTAATGTTCCCAAAAAGGTTTCACAGCAGCCTGCAGGTCCAGCAAAGAAATTTAGAAAAGGCAAAGTGCCGTCAACACGAGGAGCACTTTCAAAATCACAGAACACGACAAGAACCGTACAAGTTTCTAGAACAGCGACCGGTTCTAATTTGTCAATTGCTAGTGGTCCGGCAATTAACATCGTAGCAGACGCACATCAGGAACCCCCATTCGTGCCTTTCAGGATTCAGGATGAGATGGATATAGAAAGTCCAAATTGCAACGAGGAAAACACACTGGACAGACCAAGGGGAGCTTTGTTACCACTGAATCCACAACCAGGCCCCAGCGGGGTAAAGAGTCCATCAAACAACAACCTTGGTATGTTAACTGTCTCAAATCAATTTGTTTCACACGGGTCGGCAGGTTCTGGGTTTTTAGATACTCGTTTACAAGTGGACCAATCCCCTCCATACATTTCAAGTGTTTTTGATCCCATTTCATCCCATATTCCGGTCAAAATTAAAGAAAAAATATGGAACGGTGAGTTCATTGACCTGAACATTCTTCTAAAATCCACCCGGGACCTTGTAAACGAGCAAAATTTAGAGGGTGAACTGGTAGTAAAAGGGGGTGTTTTATCCTTAGTTAACCAAAAGAGAAGTCCCATAAAAAGTATTCATGTCTGGACTTCCGCATTCATGATTTATGGAAGTGTAATGCTTGAAAAATGGCCCAACAAAGGTCTGGAGTTTTTCAAATACATGCAAACAGTCAGAATGGCAGCCTCAAGGGGTTACTCTGGAGGCTGGGTTCATTACGATGAGCAATTTAGATTACGTAAAGCTTCTTCCCCCTTTTCTTCATGGGGAGTTGTCGATATGGAACTGTGGTTGCTATGTGTATCTACTCCGAACGTTAGTCCTTCTTTTAATACAGGACTTTCAAATGGTAATAACCATCAATTGCACAATGGGAATTCATCGACAAGTGGGGCGTCGAGTCAAAATTTAGGACAACGCCGGGTGTTTACATGCAGATTATTCAATAACAAGGGTATTTGTACATTTGGCAAGAATTGCAAATATACTCACAAATGCTCGAAATGTAATGGTAGTCATCCCTACTTAGAATGCAGAAATTAATTCCGCTTTGTTTTTATTTACCTTGTTTTGTAAATATTCTTTTTCCCTAGAAATTATATTTAGATATCTTTCAGTGCAATTGAACTTGTTTCATAGAAATGGCTGAGTTATCTCTCCTTCTACTAGTACAAATGTATTTACTATATTTTCTCATGTTATTTAATTTGTGTTTGTTTTTAATTTGCAGGTTACACGCATTTGTATTCTCTAGGTAATTCGCCAATAAACGTTGATGAAGTAAAGAAAGCTCTCATAAATTACCCGCATCAAGAGGTTGCGCGAGACCTGATCCAAGGTCTCGAAGCTGGGTTTAAACTAAAATACTCCGGTCCGAGACTTCCTGTGGATATAGATTCTAAAGAAATGAATGGGGAGAAAGCCACCATAGCTAGGGTAAAAATGTTTAAAGAAATTAACCTGGGAAGGGTAGCTGGTCCTTTTTCAGAACCTCCGTTACCCACCTTTCGGGTTTCTCCGATCTCGGTTATCCCTAAAAAATCTAGTTCAGAATTCAGGTTAATTCATAATTTGTCCTTTCCTATACATCACTCCGTTAATGACTTTATTGACAAGCAGTACTGTTCTGTAAAATACTCAAGCATAGACGACGCTGTCAATATGATTCACAGATTGAAAAAGAACACGCTCTTGGCCAAGTGTGACGTAAAATCGGCTTTTCGTTTGCTAAGACTCTCTCCGGGTGATTTTGATCTGATGGGGTTCAAATTTGAGAATCAATATTTCTTTGATAAATGCCTCCCAATGGGGGCCAGTATTAGCTCTGCGCTATTTGAATCTTTTTCCACCGCCTTGCATTGGGTTGTACAGCAACAGTCAAAAAACGACAATATTTTACATTATTTGGACGATTTTCTGTTTGGAGGCGAGGCACAAACTTCACAATGCCACGACACTTTGAAGTGTTTTCAGGATTCTTGTAAACTTTGGGGGATTCCGTTAGCAGAGGAAAAAACGGTCGAGCCAACGGAAGTGTTGATATTCCTTGGTATAGAATTTGACACCATCAACATGGTAATGCGTCTACCCGAAGACAAACTTGTTGAGTTAAAAGCCAGAATTTCTTTTTGTTTAGGTAGATCCAAAATCACCCTTCGGGATTTACAATCATTGATTGGCATACTAAATTTTGCATGTCAAGTAATTGTCCCGGGTCGAGCCTTTTGTCGTCGTTTGATTGACGCCACTTGCAATTTGCGTAGGCCCCATCACAGAACCAGAATAACTAAGGCTATGAAAGAAGACCTTAATATTTGGTTACTATTTCTATCAAATTACAATGGTACTACCGTAATTCTGGATAAATTCTGGTCATCTAACTCTGATCTCGAATTGTTCACTGACAGTGCAGGTGGGGTCGGAAAAGGCTTTGGTATTTATTTTGAAGGGAAATGGGCCCAGGCGAGTTTACCCCACAATTGGATAATTTCTGGAATTTTAACCGATATTACCTTTCTAGAATTGTTCCCTGTAGTCGTTGCTTTGAACATTTGGGGAGGCATGTTAAAAAACAAGAAAATTTTATTTCACATAGATAACCAGAGCGTAGTTTCTATAATCAATAAAAAGTCTTCAAAGTCGACAAGTGTTATGTCCCTGATCAGAATACTTGTATTGGCCTGCTTGGAATACAACATATTGATTAAAGCCGAACATATCCCAGGTCATTTGAATTCTCTTGTTGACTCCCTCTCTCGTTGTGATTTTCAGAAGTTCCGGAAACTATGCCCCACAGCAGATGCAAACCCATACACGATTCCGGCCCACCTCTGGAAAGTTTAAAAGACGAGGCAGACCTATTGCTTAAATGTTCAATGGCTCCCAACTCCTGGAAAACTTATAAAACAGCAGTAGAATGTTTAAAAAAGTTTCGCATTATTTATAACTATCGTGATATTTGGCCTGTACCTATCGACGAAATAGCTCAATTTATAGCATACCTGTCGTACAAAGGTTTCTCTGCGTCTACTGTTTCTACTTACATCTCCGGATTGGCCCCCACACACAAGATTAACAATGTAACAGATAACACGAAATCATTCATCATCTGCAAAATGATTGAAGGATTGCGTAGAAAAAATCCGCAAAAACTAGATGTTCGAACGCCGATATCGTTTGACTTGTTAAAACGTTTAATTCACAGTCTACGCAGCGTTTGTAATTCTCAGTATGAAACTATATTGTTTTCTTCTGCCTTTTCTCTTGCGTACTTCGCCATGCTACGAGTAAGGGAGTTGGCTATAAACAGTCGTACTGACGAAAGCGGACATGCATTGAAATGTGAAGATATCACTTTTGATCAGAGTAATGGTCAAACCGAATTACATGTAAAAATATGCAGCTCAAAAACCGATCAAAAGCATAATTCCATAACCCTGATCATTCAGAGCCATGCCGATTCGAATATCTGTTCAATTACGCTATTACAATCTTATTTGCAGGTTCGCTTCTCCGGCGTAAATGGATCAAATAAATTATATACACATTTTAATGGTTTGGCCTTAACAAAATATCAATTTTGTTCCCTGCTTCAAAAATGTTTGGGTTTCTGTGAACTACCGTTTCACATCCGTTCTCATTCTTTTCGGATAGGACGAGCTACTGATATGGCAAAAAATGGTGTTAAAGACGATATTATCAAGCAGTGCGGCCGATGGTCCTCCGTTGCATATTTACGCTATATTCGTATCTGAGTCTTTAACTTTCATTACAGCTCAAACAAGTGTTTTAAATATTATAATACATATTACCTCCTTTTAGGTTCAAAAGCTATTTGGTTCGTCGGATCTTCAATTGTATATTGGGCACAGACTAATGCAAAAACGAGAAACGGGGGCCCAAACATTGGTCTTCAAAGCAGAGGGGTGTACATACGCTGGTTTGGAAAAAGGGGTATGTTGTGGAATGAATTTAATGCCAAGGTATCACATGCAGTTGACAAATTTTCTCCTCCCGCCATGATAGTCATTCAGCTTGGTTCCAATGATCTGGTAAAAGTAAAAACCTTGGAACTTATCCAAAATATTGAAAGGGATATTCTGCGTCTGCATTTACTTCTACCTAACACTCGCATCGTATGGAGCGAAATGCTAATGCGTAGGTATTGGCACGGTGCTAAAGACGGAAAAGCTATCGAGAGATCTCGCAAACGAGTAAACTCTTCTATTAACAATTATGTCTTGAATGATGGGCATTGTATTATTCAGCATCCCAATATTCGAGCTCGAGAGATGAACTTGTATAGATTTGACGGAACTCACTTATCCGGTATTGGATATGATATATACTTGAACAACATACAGGGGGGTATTGAAACTTTCCTATCATCTCACAAAATTCGCCGTTTCCCCGAAGTCTAATTTGGAAAAGAATTTCTAATAATTTTTCAAGGGGTTGAAAAAAGGGGGAGGGGGAGTATTTAATGAGTGTGTATAGACTCACTCACGTGGCAAGATTAAGGGGTCATGATCCGTTCCTGTATTGTACGTCGGATCATATTAGTTTTTTACTTTCCTGCGTTACCGCAGGAAGTTCTGTTGAGACCATCTCATGTCTACCCTGAGTGGCCGGTTCTGAATTGGTACCAGTTCGAGCTTAACTGTTTTATGATCTAAAAATTGTTAAATTGTTAATCTTTACTCCCCTGAAACCAGGGGGTGATGCGAATAAGACCCGACGTATTTGGGGATCATGGCCCTCGTTCTCTTTAGGATTTAACCTGGAGGAACTTGAGCATCCATTGCTACCAATGGTGCACAGATTTGTCAGTTAAATCAATCATGTCGGCATTATGTTATCATGTCAGACCTCGTCATTCAAAGTGAACTGTGGCCGTTAATTCCACATAAATTGTTTGTTTGTTATGCTTTGCCTTAGACTTGATTCTTTAATTAATAAGGTTTATCACTTATAAGATAAACCAATTTAATGAAAGAGATTTGATTAATATATTTATTTTCCATAAAGACATATTTCATCATTCGGATCCGCATCTCGCTTCCGGCTTAGAAACGTCACGTGACTTCAGCCTCACATTTGAACTAGCCGCTTCTAGATAAGTGAAAGTTTCAAAAACCCGCCCACCTCCCCTCACAATCTACCAACAATTACTTGTGTCTGCTGCTGTTCTATTCATTTTTCAGGCTGTTCAGAGAAAAGCCTGATACATAATACGTTGTTGGAAAAAATAAAGATGACTAGACTAAGCCGATGGAATTGCTTGCTGAACAAACTTTTGAGAACTATCGTATTCCAAATTTGAGTGAGTGTTATACAGTTTTACCAGGACAATCAGCTACCAGCAATGTGATTGGAACAATCAGTATGATTATTTAGTTTATCCACCAGGAACACATATAGAACTTTAAATTTTTGTTATGAACTTTCAGCGTTTATATCTCAAATAATAGTATAATTGTTCATTATATGGTAATAAAATGTTCAGTCACAGTAAAAAGTTGTTTGGCGGGATCTGGCAAGATTAAGGGGTCATGATCCGTTCCTGTATTGTACGTCGGATCATATTAGTTTTTTACTTTCCTGCGTTACCGCAGGAAGTTCTGTTGAGACCATCTCATGTCTACCCTGAGTGGCCGGTTCTGAATTGGTACCAGTTCGAGCTTAACTGTTTTATGATCTAAAAATTGTTAAATTGTTAATCTTTACTCCCCTGAAACCAGGGGGTGATGCGAATAAGACCCGACGTATTTGGGGATCATGGCCCTCGTTCTCTTTAGGATTTAACCTGGAGGAACTTGAGCATCCATTGCTACCAATGGTGCACAGATTTGTCAGTTAAATCAATCATGTCGGCATTCTGTTATCATGTCAGACCTCGTCATTCAAAGTGAACTGTGGCCGTTAATTCCACATAAATTGTTTGTTTGTTATGCTTTGCCTTAGACTTGATTCTTTAATTAATGTGTAGTTTATACTTACAGCTCATGATCGAATTGACATTGTGTTTTGCTTCTGATCATAGTGACATTATGTGTAGTTCACATTTAGAGCTTCTGGCCACAGGCATTAAGTGAAGTGTAAACTTAGAGCTTCTGATCACATTGAATATATGTGTATAGTTCATACGTAGAGCTTCTGGCCGCATTATGCGTAAGTTCTATGTATTTTGTGCATTACGATCTTTAACTTTATCCAAATAAACTGTTGGTTTACAATGATCACTGACAGATTCGAGAAATTTATATGTCTCTCTTATTGAAAGTGCCAACGAAAACTGATTAAAATATTTATTATAACAAATGAAATATATTCGTTACAGGACGCGTTAAGAATTAAGGGGCAATGGAAAATCATAACTCTTAGAAAAACAGACAGCACGATTGTCAAAAATATAAACGAATAAAAGACAAACATGAATAACAAAACATTACACAGCAAAAACAAACTTAAGTAGCAAGAACCCCACCAAAAACCAGGGGTGAAATCAAATGCTCTGCATTGGTGAGCAAATCCTGCTCCGCATGCGGCAACCGTCATGTTGTTAAGACAATTTTTTTTAATGCGTGAAAAGTCGCATTCGGTAATATCACAATCAATGAAAAGAGGATGATATTGTGGTTACGACAAGTGGAGCATATCCGTGGTCATCTGCGACACATTGTCAATGAATTAAGTCTTCCAAGAGTCAATCAGTCCTTGTATGGCTGCCCCAATGTATTTAATGCTACGGAATCGAAACCCTGATTGAAGAGTAGCGGACAGAGGGTTACTTTATTGTATCTAATTTGCATTTGTCGTTCGCAAGGAAATCGGTATCAAACGATTGTTTACAGGCTACACTGTGACTTTGAGATGAAGAACAGCGATAAAAGAGCTGTTCCTTTCTTTTTTGTGTGCTTTTTGCTGTACATGTACTGATTTTGTGTCATGTATACCCTATATCCTTTGTTTTTCTATTAAGTGTGCATGATGCATGAACAAAATTAAAATATTAAAAATATTTTCTTTTTCTTTGTAGTGTTGGTAATGGCAATGACGGTTTGTATTTTCTATTGATGATGATTGATGGGTGTTGAACGTCTTCCGGCAAATCAAAAGCAAATTTAGGACGAGAACATGTTAATATAATATGAATATAATCTCGGCGTAATTACTGGACATGCATTGAAATTTGTCTCGGAAAGGTCATTCTAATCTGTTCAGTTCTTTCAATTTCAAAACTCTGTATCGGAACTCCTCATTTTTATACAAATGTATTATAGACAGTTTTGGCGTTGCCTTTAAAGCAAAATTAGAGTACTGAAAGCTTTGAATTTATGAAGGAAAATGTTTGCACAATCATTCTAGTTAATTTTCTCGGGTTCAGTGATTTAACCTATGTTTTCATCCTTAATTAGACAATCTGCTTATCCTTCCGGATTATCTGATGTCACCCCTATATTGTTGGTCATTTTTCAGGGGTTTTTTTGTAGTGTTTTGTGGACTTTTTCGTCTTTTTTTTTTAAGTGTTTTGCCCTTACTTAATTTACGAGGATGCCTGCGCAACATAAGTAACGAAAACGGAAGTTGAATATCTGAATTTGTTAAATAACAATTTAAAATGATGTTCAGAGTCAAAATTATGAAACACAAAGTCACCAATTCAGGTGTCAATTTAGATGGTTCAACGTGTATTAACGCTTTTCCTTTTCATTCAAGCGAGATCGTAACTCGACAATTTAGTTAGAATAACGCCTCTTGTTCATATTCACGAACTTGTAATGCACGACGAAGGTCAATGGCGAGACATGGCGATCTTGTATTCCGTCGCGTCGGATTTTCGTTGTCTTAAGTTCAGTCTGCGTGTGGTTAATGTTTTATTAAGACATCAATGTCTTTGTCAAACCTGCATGGAATATTACACAATTTGAACAGAAGTTTCTTTGTGACAGTATCCAGAGCTAACTTTAGAAAATATTTCTTTCATTTTCTGTATTTCACTAATAAAAGGAAATAGTTTTGTTTGCAATTAACATGTTGATTCATTCTACATCTGCATTTATATTTATTTTTTAGGACCCCAATTTCATTTTGAATTAAAATTGATTTATTTGTTTTTTATTTACAGATATTTCTTAAATTGACTGGTAATCACACATGCAGATTGGATGCTGAGTCTTCAAACACGATAGATTCTATAAAAGAAAAGGTCTTGAACAGGGAAGGAATTCCAGTTGACCAACAGTGCCTTCTGTTTGCAGGACAACAACTAGAGAATAACCGTACTTTGGCAGACTATGACATACAAAACGGTTCAACGGTGCTTCTTAGACTACAGAAACCGATGATTGATCCATAAATCTATTGCGTATTATAATATATTTTCAAACTGTTGTTTTCTGGTGTAATAATTTACGTGTAAATCTGTATTTGACCAAACCATATATTTTAGCAATAAACGTGATCTCATGAATTTACATTTACAATTTTTGAGTTTTTCAAATATTCCTCTTTAAACTGTTCTCAAGAAGATGGTAAAATAAAGAAATAATTATATCAAACGAAATAGAAATGTTTGCTCAACTGAAATATAAATTAATGTTTGCTCCATTCAAATAGAAGTATATGCTCCACTTAAATAGAAAGGTTTGCTCCACTCAAATAAAAATGTTTGCTCCACTGAAATAGAAATGTTTGCTCCACTGAAATAGACATATTTTCTCCACTGAAATAGACACGTTGCTCCACTCAAATAGAAATGTTTGCTCCATTGAAATAGAAATATGTGCTCCACTCAAATAAAAATATTTGCTCAACTGAAATAGGCATATTTGCTCCACTGAAATAGAAATGTTGCTCCATTGAAATAGAAATGTTTGCTCCACTGAAAAAGAAATGGAAAAGGAAGCCATGAAAAAAACACATTCGGTTTAAGAGAGAGGAAACATTTTTGGAAAAAAGTATACGATAAGGACATGTGATGTGATTGACAAGGGACCATTTATCAACCAAAGATCAAAGGACGAGGATGTGAACAACTGTAACAAGTAAGTAAACCCATACCATATAGCTGGGACTTAATATGTTTGCCAGCGTATATCTTAATGACCAGCGTATAGCCTAATGGCCAGCGTATAGCTTAATTGCCAGCGTATAGCTTTATGGCCAGCGTATAGCCTCATGGCCCGTGTATAACCTCATGGCCAGCGTATAGCCTAAGCAAAAAACAAAAGGTACCGGGGTGACACAAATCAAAATGTAAAACCAACAGCCTGATTTAAACTAAAACAATAAAATAAAAGCAATAATCATGCTAGCAGCCAGCAACCAACGTCAACCACTGGATTGCAGCATCATGTCTTGGGACTGACAAATAACAAAGTGCCGGGATTTAACATACTTGTAAGCAGTCAATCATACATTCATATTGGAAAAAGTAAAATCACAAAAATACCGAACTCCGAGGAAAATTCAAAACGGAAAGACCCTAATCAAATGGCAAAATCAAAAGCTCAAACACATCAAACGAATAACTGTCACATTCATGACTTGGTACAGGCATTTTCTTATGTAGAAAATGGCGGATTAAACCTGGATTAAAGGGTTGTAGCTTCACAAAGTAAGACCAAATTGTAAAAATCAGTTGCAAAGGGACTCGTCAGATCGATACTTAGCAGACAACAACTGAACTTAAACCAGGTTGTTTTCTACTATTCATTCGGTAATGTGTAAGTACATTTATACTTTTACTAGTGAAATCCATCAACATTTTACACGCAACAGAATTATGATATTTTTTCCAATATGCATGTTAGAATTAAAAATAACATTTCTGAATAATTTAATGTTTACATCGGTCTAATTTTTCGTATAAATTAAAAATAGAGAATATGATCTAATTCAAAATATCTTAATCAAAAGTACGGTAATTTAAATTTGTATTCCTTTCCAATGCCAGTACTGTATTGTTTATACACCTTGTTTACTAACAGTTTCTTTCATATTTTCAATTTATACTGAAACTACAATTGTATGCAAAAGAGACAGGTGCACGATCTCTCGAAAGTATATGACTATATATATACACATTTTGTTTTAGATTGATGGTACTCTATAAGTCCCGCTCAACTTCATTGAGATGATATAATAACTCTAAACAGATTCTATGTAATAACTTATGTTGAATGAGATCAATAGTTCTAGTATACGAATACGAGCTGGCAGCATTTTGATATATACAAACGGATTCTACGTACGCACCTTATTAGAGCTGACATCATTTTGGGTCATTTTGATACATATATTTTATCGATATTTCAAAGGTATATTTGTTCCAAGTTTGCTTTTCTCACGCGAACAGGTATTTAGTAAAATGTTATCGCTTTCATTTTTGTGTTGGTAGTCGACATGAAGATTTCAGCTTTGTTCGTTTTGTTGTTCGTCAAATTTACTATTTCGAACCCTGATCATTCAAAGGTCAAACGAGTGAGCAATGATGGGAAGGGTAATCCTTTGACGTGGTTCATCCTACAAAAGTTCAGCGCTCTAGGCAATAAATTGGAAAAATTACGAAAAGTAACTGACGAAAACAGAAAAAACTTGGATACGAAAGTCAGTGTTCTGCAAGATAAACTTGAGAAACTTGGATCAAATCTTGAAACTCCTAAACCTCAAGATGATGATGATAAATTAATTAAGCAGATTGAAGATTTTAAAAGCAAGTATTCCGGTTTTATTTTGGTTTAAAAACAGCAAAATCTTCAAATGTGACATAACTCATAAATCATCGCCAGTTTTATGTAACGGTTAGTCTATGAAAAGTGATATTACAATGTTTGTATCTTCTCAAATCAAATGCGTCGGACTTGTTAATAATCATATTCTGTATATTATGTATTATATTGCAGACAATATGGTCTAATATTGTCTATAATAGACATGCTATCTATGAAATTATGACCCGAATATTTCCCTGGTTTAAAAAAAAAAACAAATATTTAATATCATATATGGATGAACAATTTGTTAAATGTCTAATCAGAATAATAATAAGACAATGTTTCTAAATTACAATCTGAAATGACGTTTCTTTCGATCATAAAAGGAAGATTGCGAATCTCAATGCTCTTTAACTTCGCAATTAATTTGATTCGAGCGTCACTGATGTGTCTTTTGTAGACGAAATGCACGTCTGGCGTACAAAATTTTAATCCTGGTATATATGATGAGTTTGTTAAGCACGTTGAGGAAAGGTTAATATAGTGTCCAAAAAGTCCTTTCTTTGGAGGTCTGGAAAATTCCTTTCAATTGGACTAAGCGTAGAACGTCATTGTGATGGTCGCGGTTTTTTATAAGATGATAACGGTGTTAAGTATATTTTTTTTTATATTAATTGGATAATTTAGTTTTATTTTTTGTTTTTTGCAGAAAATGGTTTAAAGAAGATAGAGACCATTGCAGCTAAAAATGGAAAGGAACTCGATTCGTTTCGAAAAGAGATAGATGCCATTAAAAATGGAATGGTTAAGAAGGCAAATTTTGGACAACTCGAAAATAGAGTACGCACAATTCAGCAAAATGTTCAACAAATGCAATCCCAGATGGCGAATTCGAGAAGTGAGTCAAATGATTATTTTTTTTATAGATTCAACCCCCTTTTTTGACGATCAATGCTTTTGAATGGGGACATATGGTTGGAACCCCCCTTTATCCTAGGTTGGAACCCCCCTCCCCCTTTTTAAAAATGGCTGAATCCGCCCCTGCAAACACTCAAAAAGTCTGACGATATCTCAAAAGAATCACTCAATATTAGAGTGTGTATGATAAAAGATATTTTCTTCATTTCTTTTTACACGATTGATTTTTTTCAAATCATTTAACAACAGTTACTAACTCAGAAAATTGAAATGCTAATACAAAGAAATTGCGTGTAACGTTATCATTGATTGAAACTGATACTATGTTACATTGTGTGTTATTGTTACTACGAATATATTTTATTTCAGGAAGTTCAATAGCGTTCTTTGCATTCTTAAAAAATGACCTGTATGCAGTTGGCAGTGAGGTACTAAAATTTGGTGATGTAAGGATTAATAAAGGAGGTGCCTTTAACCCTTCAACAGGAGTGTTCACTGCACCAAAGCAAGGAATTTATCAAATGTCCTGTACTATTATGGGTTTTGCGGGATACGAGTTTTTTTATTTGGTTATGAAAAATGGAAGCGTTTACTCATATGGCACAACAAGTAGTGGTGGACATTTTAACACGGAAACTTCGCTCATTTTGATGAATCTTAGAAAAGGTGACCGGGTGTACATTCAACACAGACATATAGCGTCAAGAGTTCATGCAAATAAAAACAGCTATTTTTCAGGATATTTAATATCAGTTTGATAAAATTAATATTTACTGAATAAATGTCAAAGTGTATTGTTGTTTATTGATAAATCATACAGTGGATGTCGACTCGTGACGAGACTAACACAATTACAAAAATAACCACCGACATATTATAGAAGTAAACTTGGCACATTCATATGTGAAAAGCAAAATAACAAAAATACCGAACTTCAAGGAAAATTCACAAAGGAAAGTCAAATGGCAAAATCAAAAGCTCAAATACATCAAACTAATTGGAAACAACTGCGGCATATTCCTGACTTGGTAGAGCATTTACTTATGTAAATAATGGTGTATAAAAATGTTAAACCTAACCTGGTTATATGGCTAGCTAAGTCTCACTTGTATAACAGTCGCTTAGAATTCGATTACATTGACGGGGTTTGACATTTTTTGCAAAACTCAACCCTTCCCTTTTAAATCTTCGATCATGTAGTAAAGTACAAGAAAAATTACTCATGTTTACAGCATAAAATATAACGAACACACAAGCACAGAAAAAAAAATTCAGTTTAATCCCTATTATTCTGAATCAACGAATATTCGCACTTACTGGAGACAAGCTAAAGTATTTACTTCCACTGCTGATAAGAAATACAGTGTGCGTTAGGTCAGTTGAGAGTTTCGAATCAGCCTTCCACCATCGTCATTTGGTGCATCTATTCCAAACCAGAATTGGTATCTTCGACGTACAGATACAGATACAGAACTTATCTGATGAAGTTTTCAAGTACCAAAATATGATATTACCAATAATTCAAATATTAAACTTTTTTATTGATGGACTCTCTTTAGACCACCTAAATATAAGAATCATAACATTTTTCAAAGTTTCGTGACCGTACGAAGCCTATGAAAAATATTTGATTTGAGAAGCGGAAACCAAGGGAGATCAAGTTTAAAAGATTTTGGGGTGCAAGTCATGACTAAATGGAAGGTATCCGCGATAGAGGTGTTAAACATTGTTTCAATTGTGATACAAAAGTGGCAACAATCAAAAGAATGTAAGGCAAGAATCAAACATGTACACACATTTTGCTAACCAAATAAAATTGTTGGAAATGTGGACGAAAAGAA